AAAAAAAATGTGTTTGGCCTAATTTGGCGGATAGCCTACCCGGTTAAAGTAGGACACTGGTAAAGGAAGTCAACTGGTGGAGGCTGAGTTTTGCCTTTTGGAACCTGACATACCTTCTCCTCTTACTTCGGTAGAAAGGATACCTCTGCAGGGTGGAATGTCATTACTGTTGAGTAAAGTGAAGATAATGCCCTGTATGTTGGTGCTAACCAGCGTGAGCTGAAGCGACGCCATCTTGGGGCGGATTTTTTGGGAAGCCATGATCCCCTGGGTTGATAAGACGGTCAAGAAGAGACCGTATACAGACAGAAGGGTCGACACCATGATGGGGAAAGCCAGGTAAGGGTAAGCGTTGTCTGCCTGCATCTGAAATGGGGGAATAGGTAATTGAGAACAGGAAACCAACTTATCGTAGCCTACCTTAGAACACAAATTTTAAAGAAAGCAAAGAAAATATATCATCCCAACAGAGCGTTCTTTTAAAATTCAACCCTTTTTCATACTCAGCATTTGTCGGATGTTTGGATATTTCTAAATAAGATGCATCCTTAGATTTTTTCTATTGCCATTCATTTCCTCCGTATTTGATTTCGACACTGCATGAAAATATGTAACAAACGAAGGTGTTGAGGTCTATGGTGGCGTGCAGAACGCCTACTACTGTGGCTGTACATCCCAATATGGGCTGACAGTCTTTGCCAAAGACCTCACATTTGTAGAACTCCAACTGATAATCGAGTCAACCCCCATTTTACCGCCTACCGTGGGACGAGCATGAAGTTGGCGGTACAGCGGGACTGGCGGTAGAACGAAGTTTTCATGTCCTCCTTTAGATACATGTAGCACGGACTGCCCAACTTCAAGGGAATTTGTATACCAATCACTAGATGAAGTAATGAGTTACCTCCCTTCGATCTGTCACTTTGACCTGAGTATGAGCCCTCTCTAAATAAAAGCCCTACGGGCATTCGCCAGCCTGTAAGTTATTGGACTGGTATATAGCGACGCCAGACATTTTGGCAGGAGCCAAGATGGCCCCATGCGACACATTTAATTATGTTTTTTTATGTTGTATTAACCAAGGCTAAAATAGAATAGCATTTTCATAATCAGCGCATCAAATTTAATTGGATTCACACAGTGGGCCAAACTTGATGCTGAATTATAAAGTTATGTTTTATCTTAATTGTACTCTTACTGCATTACCATTGTATTGTGTTCGCTTGCGACACACTACATCAGGTATATCGAGGCGCGATGGGTGAGGAGGGAGCAAATCAGTGAAAAGCGTTTGATCTGGACCTAGGCCTAGCTCGTAGACTTATGTGTGAAAGATTGTTTAGCAACCACCAAGAGGATGTGCCATGCGCCGTGTGCAGCCCAGTGTGTACTGTGTGCCTCTGGCAGCCAGTTCGTTGGCGGTACAACGGCCAAATTTACTGTAGTTTAATAAGGACCCTACATATGAGACTGTTGGCCGATAACGATGTAAAGGCACAAATACTATGTTTATATATAGGGGACGCTTTTCGTACATTGACAAAACCTGGCGGTAAGCGGGGCTGGCGTTACAACGGGAGCGGTACAATGAGGTTTGACTGTACCTCTCTCTTTTTCTTTTCTTAAATCCCTTTGACACCTGCAGTGTCTCTGAATCCAATACCGGATTCTCTCGTGTCTTCCTGACTGTCCTTTCCAGTGAGTGCGTTCCTATAATTATCCACAAGGCAAGGTGTGTTTCTAGGAGTGCTGCATAGTTAATCTTGAACATGGTAATCTCTCTGTTTGTAATTGCTATTTTCCTGACATCTTTAATCACAATAAGATCGTCAAGAATCCCGGAGTCATAGTTCTGATATTGTTATTCCAGCGTTCGAGGTTTATTGTATTTGGGTTGTTCTGTGGTGTGTCCTTGTTCTCC